AATTGGTTTGCATAAAGGGGGAGTTTTCGTCCGTGAAATGCGGATACGTGTCATTATGGTATCCTTGGTATCGACGTCTAGTACCTATTTATCTAGCACTAGCCTAGAAACCGCTTACTTTTTAGAGTTTTTATCGTGCTATGTTTTGGAAACTGCACTTAATTATTTTAATGCGTTAGTTGATTGCTTGAGGACAAGCAATGGTCTAAGTGTTGGGGATTTTGATAATGTGAAAATGTATCGTGTTTTTAGACTCATAACACATGTTATTCGTTGTTAGTTTAGTATGATTTATCACTTTTATGTTGTGTTTGGTTCATTTTGCAGGTTTTAATAAGTGCTGGAGCAATTTCGCTGAGAACTCGAAAAAGGAGCAGAAGAAATGCAGAAAAATGACTTTTCTAGTGCATGGCGTTCGCCATTACCCTAATGGCGTCTGCCATATACCAAAGCCACGTCATTTAATGAATGACCAAATGGTGTTCGCCATTATGTTGCAGTTGCAGAAAACATTGAGTAAGTTTTGGACTCCTTCATCCCAACTTCCTTCTTCTTCTCAACCTCGTTGCACGTTAGAGGCAGTTTTTAGACCCATTGGACATATATTTATAGGTTGCTCCTCCACATTTCTGAGCATCCAAGTCGTGCGAAAGCTCTGTTGAAATTAGATTCTAGTATTAGGCAGAAAAATCACTTGTAAAAGTGACAATAACTCACATTGAGGGATTGTCACACGAATTCTGTTTTTACTTATTTCTTGTACTCTTGGATCAACAACAACAATCTTGCCGGAATTAATCATAGTTTATTTGTCTCTTCAAGTTCTATTTTTACTTTTACTTTACAGGTTTTTATCGCTTTAATTTAATTATTGTCATCGCATTATTCTATTTAGTGTATGTTGCCTTTAAATTCAAATGTTGTGTTTATGTCGTAATTATTTGAAATAATGTCTGGCTAAACTTGTCTGAGTCTGGCATATGAGGATCGTCGTTACCAACGAGAGTCGGTAGAAAATAATAGGCGCGAAACGATAATAAATTTTCTTTGGTTTTATTTTCCAATTGTATGTCTTAATGTTTTGTCACGAGATTGAAAAGCAAACTAAGGTTCGAGCCGATAGCGAGAGTGTGAGGATTGAACTAGATAGTCGAAACTAGGCATCGATCCTAAAAACAGCAGCAGCACTTTAGGTATCGATTAGGATCTAATTGATTTTCAAAATACGTTTTCTAATTAAAATGGGTGAGCGAGAAAAAAATCTCATGGGTAGAGAGAGTGTTTTTAATCAATCGTGCGAGAGTCTGAGACGGAGTCGTTAAATTGATATTTTCCACGGAACTTAGTTTAATTATAATTAGTGCCTAAAATCTACAGAGTCCCTGAGAAACACATAATCCATATTCCGACCTCTCTTTATTATTAATTTCCAACCCTTTAGCAAATTTACGTTTCTATTTCCATCTTAATCTTTTAAATCACTACCCTTAGCTTTGTATAGCTCAATCGATAAAGGTAGATTGATTATCAGTCCATGTGGGTTTGATATCTTTTAAAACTACGCGATAGAATGTATACTTGCAGTTAGATCATCCGATAAACTCGTAAGGTCACGATCACTTGAAAGTGAAGAAGACTTTGTTATAAGTCTTAAAGAATTCTACAAACTTCATTTATTTAAATCTATTGTAATTCTTACAAGTTCCTTAGCATCAGGTATTGTTTGGTACTATGAGGGATTTATAGAAAGGTGGATTGTATCTTCTTGTAGAGGTCTTTACTTATTGTCCAGGATTGTTGAAAATAAGTGTGTTGTAAATCCAAGAGGATTGTTCTCGGGGTTTTTGTTAGTGTCTGTATATGAAGACTAGGATAGTCTTGTATAAGTCCTAACAATAGTAAAATCTCTTTCATGTTGAAAGAGGACTTGAGTACTCTCGAACTGTGATGAGAACCAGGATATTTCTCAGTGTTCTTTATTTTTCCACACTTTATCGGATTCATCACTTAGAATCTAAATCGGAAAAATAAGAAGACATAAGTTAAAAATCAGAAGAAAAAAAATTCAAAGTGCCTAATTCACCCCCGCCCTCTTAGGTGCAAACCCTACTTACAGATTGCCTATCTAGAAATAATAGATTTGAAATTACATGCAGAACCAATAAAAACAATTGTGCTCCTAAGAAAGTCAAACCAACACCCATTGACAATTCAACCAAACAGTCACCGTCCTATTTCAAACATGTTGACACACTTTTTACAAACTCTCCAATTTCATTATTCAATGGTGTTTCCATAAGTAAACCATTTCCTTCAACATTATCACCATATTTACCAAAAATGATACACATTGAAAACATGTTGATTTTTACGCACAAATTTATTGATCTGATTGTATATGTCAAGGGTGACAGTAATTGTGGTTATTGCGTTGTTTCAACTTTGTTGGATAACAGATAGGAGAATCATACACTTGTCGATCAACATTTAATCAAAGAGTTGAAGACGCATAAGGAATCGTACACAATATTGTACGGGGGAAAATAGCATTTTGATGAAATTCATGCATATCTTATTCTTTGCGTTAGCAGTTCATCATCGGAAGAAAAATGAATATGTTTCCCTGAAATGCTTTCTCTGAAACATATTTTCCACTTTGAAGTGACCTGGCTCAACATCTAATCGGATGTATTATATGTGTTGGATGGCTTTCAAAATCACCACATTTTATTCAGGTTTATTTGAAACTAAGATGTCCTATATCACGAACATCCTCTGAGTGGACATCTCATTCGACAAAAGTTGAGAGTTGGTCGGATAATTTTTTGGATATGATGGAAGAGTTTGTCAAGCTAAGCGAAATTGACAAAGAATCGGACCATAAAAATTCAAAGGCAGAATCACCTATAGATATAGATTTAAAAGGTGACACGTGTTTTAATGCATTTTAGTTTTATCTTAGCATAAATTTTATGTGATGACACATTTTTTGTATGTATGTTGAATTGTTATATTTAACAATGTAATCATGATACATTTTGATGTGTTTTAATATATATTTAACATTATTTATATGAAAACTAGCAAGTTTGTGTGTAAAATTATATGTCTGACTACAAAATCAACTTATGTAATTGATTATGTAATTGATGACTCCAGATTTCAGAATTTAGACAAACCATATTTATTGTGTTATTTCATACTTAAATGGATCACTCTGGAGTTTAATATTTAGAAAAAACACTTATATGCATCAAGCTGACTCCAAATTTTAAAATTCAAAATGACACTTAAAACATGATAGTTTTTGTATAGTTTCTTATTTATCTAAAACTTATATAAATGTCTCTTAAAAATGTAGATATCAAAAATATCGCATAATATCTCAATATTCGTATCTCCCATTCGTTTACTTCAACGATGTAAAATCTCCTCTTAAATTTAGGGTTACCCTCTAGATGTTTTAAAATTCAAATTGGATCATTTCTTGCGTTACCTAGACAATCAAAGGGTGGTTAAAATCAAGTATTGTTCACCGTCAATTAATAAAAAATGAAAGGTAAAATTCAACAACTTAAATTGAAGACAGATGAAGATTTAAAAATTATGTAAAATACATTACCTAGTTACGAAATAAAGAATTCAATTGAAGTGGACATGACTATAGCAAGATCAATTGATGATATTTTTAAAAAAGTTAAAATATCCTCAACCATCTCTAGATCACAAAACTTGATTAATCAAGACCGAAATAATGTTTCTTATTTGGTGTATGTGATAACAAATGTTTGAGTTAATTTGTGTTTTCTTCTCTTGTCTGAAATTAAATTGCTGATAACAGAATATATTCCAATTTTCAATATACAAATATGCTGCTGGGTTCGTTTTTACCATTAGGTTTGACATATTTTGTGAGATGTTTCATCCAGATTTTAAAATCCAGAAACTAAGGTCATTTTTAAATAATTCGCCAAAGTACATGAGTAATTGCCCTGCTATTTTATCATCTTGATTGTCCACTTTTTTTTTGGTACAAAGTTGTTGGCTGTCCAGTTTACTGCTGTGAATATCCACATGGGGGGCAACGAGTAATGCCCTATTATTTTATCATCTTGATTGTCCACTTCTTTTTGGGTACAACTTACTGCCGGGAATATCTCCTCCTAACCACTCCTAACAACTTCATATCTTCGGTACTATCCAAAAGTTTAAAACTTTACTATACATAAATATGAGTGATTTTTTTTCCTGAAATAATCAGTCGTTATTCAACAAATAACTACTATTTCAGAACCTAAACACTTTCACAAAATGGATCATAAGAGTTGTCTTGCATAGTTGATAGTAATTGCCTGCAGAGCATATCAAAACAAAGGCTCGAAGCATATTAGCCATAGAATAGCACACACACAGAACACTTAACCAAATCAACAACCAAAAAATCAAGTCAAAAGTTGGCAAGAAATAACCCAGTGCATCAATATTGTTTATGCAGCTGAGTAATTCAAGATAGCAATACACCAGTAATGAGTATTATTGCACTTTCAATTCCCTCCCAAAGAAAATGTGCAGATTTAACAACAGAAAATTAAAGGAGTGGGGAATCAAAATCTCTATTATTAATGACAAGGATAACGATATCCACTATTTGAATGAGACAGCCTTGGTGCGTAACACCTGCATTATCCCCATATCTGTTAAATGTGCAAATTCACTTCATCACCTATGGTACAAAAAAGTTATCTCAACCATATCAAAGATCAAGTTTAGCTACAAAAAAAACTATCTCGCGTTTATATATTTTAAATACGGCTTACTTTCTCTTTTTTTTTTCCTTTAGTACAAGAAAAAGAAACAAAAGGGCACAAAATTTGTTTGATTTCTTTGGATAGCCGTTAGAGACACTCATTTTAAATGTCAATGAGCCATCAAGTTTTAACCTGGGTACCCTTGGTAAGCTCCTGACATTACCTCGGCTTCAATGCTATAGGTAAATCCTATTAATCAAGCTCCTGCATAAATAATAGGTTGACTCAATAACTATCAAAAATATCAACACACTCGTTAAAGCTTCAAAAATCAACTGAAGGACTTCCATTCAATTCACTGTGAGCCTTACTGTATTGGTCACAACAGATATTTTGTTCTCTGATAAACATCTAGCATGAATGATGGGGCCCGCAATTCTACTTTCCGTCTCACTAACGTTATCGGAATTGTTCAGGTAAACAGCCCCCTTGAACATCCATTGCTCCCTTTCCTGACAGTATACATCTTCAAATAGCTCACCACACAATACACACAAGCATTGATTTTCATCTGCTAACACCATAGAATCCAATTGACTCTCGTATGTGTTTTCATCGTCATGTTCATCGACAGAATCAGTAAATTCAGACTCGGACAGATATCCAGCCTTGCCAGCAATCCAGTCATTCAACTTTGCGTACCATCTTGATGCTCCATTCAAACCATTTTGTACTCTTTCTTTTGTAGCATGCCATTCCAAGTGTCTATCAAACTGTTCTAGGTGTTTAAGCCTAATACCACATTTACCACAATGATGTGGGAGTTCATCTAATAATTTTGCGATTACATGTGGGTGCATTTCTCGAATTACATCAGGTTTGAAATCAAAGCCAATGAGATTTATAATCTCTGTGCTAGTTGATTGAGACAAGGCAAGCGAGGCTTTTGCAGCATCATCTACCTCATCACCGTCTACCTCATCACCGTCTACCTCATCATCGTCCACCTCATCACCATCTACCTCAACTTTGGAAGATTTTATTGGGACAGTTGCAGAATCAAGAACTGAAACAACTGGCAATGAGGAACTGGTAGTGATGCCATCGGTTTGGTCTTTCGATCGAATCACCGTCTCATTTGGCACTACAGTTGCTGACTCCGTTCCTGCGGATATCAAACCTTTAGCAACTAATGAACTTAAAAGATTTGAAATTGGATTCAAGGTATTCTTATTGACGGTATTTGAGCTCGGAGCTGATGCACCGCGTTCATTAGAGGAAGCAGATGCAGATGGTTGAGTAGATTTTTTTTGCTTCTTTACAACCTTCCCTTGAGGTAGTTTTGGCAAAGCTTGTGAATGATCATTTGAAGAACCTAATGACACGGAGGAAGACCCTGAAGAAATTAATGTAGTAGGGGAAGCACCAATTGACCGAGTAGGCTTAACCCCTGATTGAGATGGACGGTTACTTGCATCTAGACTTTTGGTAATTGGTCCAGATTTGTTGGGGATGACTCCACTCTTCACAGATGGAGCTGGATGACTTTTTGTGGTTGACTTTTCTGAAGTTTCTTTGGCTTTGGTTTTGGCTAAAGAAACTTTGGACTTGAGTGGCTGCTTAGCTTTAAGAGTAACTTCAACCTGTGAAGGGCCCAGCTGTCGCTGTTGAGGTTTTGCCTGGAGAGAAGTTACAGAAGATGATGGACCCCGCGTGTCCTTTGCTTGTAATTTCCGCAAGGTACCAACCTGAACATTGGGACGAGTTGCAGGTGTGGGATCTCTAATATATTGACTCTGCAGACCACCCAAATGTTGAGATGTTTTAAGAGTTTGTGGACAATCTTGCTCAGCCAAATTTCGCACTGAAGGCGCGTGATGTGTTGTTACTGGCACGGATGGAGACTGTTGTTGCAAAGGTGACTGTTCAGAAGGGGATTCGGCACCTTCAGAATCAAATTGTTGCTGTCCCATATTTTTGGCCAATCCTATTGTTGTATGCGGCATGGAAGACTGATTTCTCATCCTTGCAGCCAAAGAGTTTGAATTCTTGGGTAGGCCACTAGGAGCTGAAACAAATGTTTCTGAGTGACTTGACTTCATATTCAATTTGGCACTTGGGAGCTGCTTCTGCAACCCCCATGATACTGATGAATGGCCCCCTGATGATGGCAGTTGTTTCTTAACAGTGGATATTTCTTTATCAACCTTAGTTCTAATTGGATGTGTCATTTGGAGGTGATCTTCACTTTCCTGCATGCAAAAAACAAAATTGGTCATAAATTAGAAAAAATAAAATTATATATAAACATATATAATATTAATAGTGCAGAATGAAGAGTTGAGCATAAGATTGTTGTAGCAATTTACAATGCATCTCCAATTAGAAAACTATGGTTTACAATTACAAATTTATTAATTATTAGTAATTTCATAAATTAGTATAAATAGTTGTCCTAGGATGCCTTGTACCAAGATGAATCAGGGAATTGTGTCAGTTTTATTAGGATATTTGACATTTAAATTATTATTTTGAAGTCCAGGAAATTATACCAACATGAATGAGAGAACTCTGTCTTAGTCTTGTTAGGATATTTCAAAATTAGTATTTTCAAGTTAACGAAATTAGGCATATTTATCCTGGAAAAAATCATGTATAGATATGATTGCCAATTTCTTTTGTTACTATAAATCACTCCATGGCCCCCAGTTTGTTCTACTTCAATATGATAAAATAGTTTTGTTAGTGCCAACTGTGTACTTTACCACCGTATTTTATTAGGCATTTGCTTTCCCATCAAGCGTTTTTGTCATGTTGCTCTCCTTTAGTATACTCCTCTTCGATGACCCCCATCTTTCAAGTAGGGGATAAACATGATGTCCCCCATCTTTCAAACAGGGGATAGATGGAGCTTACATACAAAAGACTTTTCAAGACAAGAAATAGACTCTAAATGATGTTCCAACTGTGCCAAAAGCAACATTTTAATTTCCTGTGGATCATTCTCATCAAAATTGGACAGCGAGAATTGGTCTTCTTAATTATAGCCATAAAATTATTAACAATACACGGGCTTCTCAAATTTGCAAGTTTAAATTTCTATCAAGGACAAGGTAGTTCAAACAAGAAAGCACCTCATTTTATAAATTGGGTAACAAAGTGCAATTGATCCTTTATCATAGCAAGCTTACCAAATTGTCATCATCGGCAATCCATGGATCTGAGCTCAAGTTGCTAGAGACATTAGGTACATGTTCGGGCAAACCAGGGTTCATCTCATCCCACACGAACTCCTCTTCCTCGGAATTTTTCCAGTTCCTTGACATGGCACTGCTCCTTATGTTATGTGCATCCAAATTCATAGGCTTTGGTGCTTCGTGATTAGAAAAACCATGTTTGAGGCTGAAACCATTTCTTTGCCCGGATAAGGTCTCTGCAACACCACCAATGAGCCTACTTCCAGTTCTTCCAACATCTGAACCCAAATTATACTCCTCATCTCCATAGGCTCCACCAATGCTCTTGTCAGGAACAGAATCGTTAAATGCGTCTCTATGAGTATGCTGGTTATTCTGCAATATACACCATATAATTAAAATATGGAACTTGACAAATTGAATAGTATAAAGAGGAAAAGAAAAATTACTCCACATACACGCATGTTAACCCTAGAATCCAGCCACGGCCGTGCAACACCCAAAGCTCTATTTGACCTCTCTGAATCCTCATTTGCGTTTGAAATAACTCCAGTCATATCATCAAATGCTCCTTTAGTCTACATGAGACAGAAAAACGACAAAATTAAGAATCTAAATTGAGAATCAAAATATGTACATGGTCTGACACTTGTTACAATCAATCAAATTTGATGTTTTTAACGCCTCATTGATAAGCATTTTTTCGAGTTTCGGCCCATCTTTTGGGGAACACTTGACTAAGTGGTCTGACACTTGTCGTGTGAGGCTCATATGAGTGTCAGGCACCAATCTAAGGAGGGTCGAAGCAAAGGAAAAAATAATTTTTCGAGACATTGGTCTGCATTATCCAATGTGTTGTACAAGTGTCATATGAGTGTCGTGTGACACAACACATCTAATTCTAGAGGTGTTGATGTTTCATAGAAATACGCTAATCGCTAGAATATTGAATTTAGTTTCAATAAGTAATAGGCAATAATCTATCAAACTCAAAATTCGGCAGTGGTGTATTTTCCAGCTTGGTTTCATCATTCAAGGAAAACATGATTTGGATTCCAACCCCAATCAGATTTCAAAATTTATATCGTTTAAAGGATTGGTTTATTTGAAATCATTTCAGATACCTTGCTAGACTGCTGAAGACGTTGCCTTTCTAAATATTTGGGATTTACATGGATGCTATGAGGTGGACGTTGAGACTGAGAATCATTTCTGATTGTAGCAGATGCAGAAGCTGAACCATTGACTGTGGGAGCAAAGCCAAGTTCTTTCTCAATGATTTGAAGGGTCTGAGGAGGAAAGACTCCTCTCCAAGTTCCAAAAAGATGCCTCATACTTGAATGCACAGGAGGATTAACATGTTTGTATGTATTGCAGAATACCTAAAATGTAAAGGAGTAATTGGCAAGTACCTAGTTAAAAATAGGTGTATAAAATTAGAAAATACTCGCAGGAGAATTGCAAAGTGAAAAACTCCATTTAGTTAACAGCTAGAGAATTCATTTTTAATGGCAATGCCTGAATTGTTGCAATATCATTATACATCTAACAAAATCAAATCAAAATAGATTAGTTTGAATTTTCATGATTTCATATCACAATTAGAAGGATTCGACATAGATGTTCATAAGAATATTATATAAAAATCTAAGGATGAAATGAAGGCCAATGAAACAAAAGTTAATAGATATCTGACCTCAGGTAGTCTAACAGCAAAGTATTTTATGTAATCCCGCCCAATATTCTTAACAATACTGTCTAAGAGATAAAGCGAGGGCAGCTTTTGATCACTTGAAACCTGAAAAATTATTAGCACATTCAATTAAACACCTTTTTTTATACAAATGCAGAGACAAGCAATGGTCTAGAAGTAATATTTCCCCAACAAATGTAAACAAAGATAGAGGAAAACAACTTAAGCCAATATTATATCCTTAAATCAGAAGCTGGCATCAAATTTCACCAAAGTTGACTTCAACCATAGTTGAGAGAGGAGCATGACATTTCTTTCTTCATGTCATACACACAGTTTCCAAAGATTCTTAATCCCTTTTGCATACAAAGTCATCAAAAGACCAAGAGATTCATAAAGCACCATATTCCAATGATGCTGCCTGTCCAGGGCCAGTTCCCAAACCTGGTACCCTAACAGAATCACAACAGTATCATACTTGACATTGACTTACGTAACATCAACTTATCATTAAGTGAAAGTTTTTTTTTCCTTTATGTAACAAGGTCTGAAAAAAGTAAAAATGTTTCTCCTTTTGCCTAAGGAGCATGAGAGTACAACTTGAGCAATATCTACCACATAAAACCTGGACAGTACCAACGAAGAAAAAAGCCACCTTTTCTTACTAAGATTCACCACTTACCGTAAAACCTCTTCACGGATACAACACTAACCTGAATTTAATGGAGAAATGGTGTTTGTACATTAAAAAAAATTGATTTCAAATACAGTGTACAGTGTTCTTTGTGAATTTTTATAAATGTGTGCAAAGAATACAACAGTCAAGCCTTATCCCACTAAGTGGAGTCGGCTACATGGACCAACTTCCGCCTTCCGCCATAATGTGTGCAAAGTATATACAAAAATATGAGATAATTACATGCGGTGTCACACACAGCTGATTATCCAGGCACAAGCATCAGATCAAGATAAAATCAAAGTGCATTTTCAGATTCTAAATCAATTACAGTTCAATTCAATTCAATATAATCAGCCTTAAACTATAAACCAAAAACCCAAAAAATAAAATATACAAACACACAACAGAAACGATATATCAATGTAACTCACCTCTAGAATATTAGCACAAACAGCTCCAACAATTGATTTGGCAGCAGAAAGATTCTCTCCAGCAATAATAGTCAAGTTGGTAATTATCGGTTTCGAATTGAAAGTAAGCTCAGCCAAAGCAGCCCTATACTGAGTCACAAGCTCTTGATGCGGCGGTGGCTGCGGGTGGTAACCACCGTCCCCATGATCAGCGTCACTATTTTCAATCTCTCTCTCACTAATTCGAAACCTAGCCATTGTAGCAGATTGTCGTTGAGGAAAGCCTCGAGTATTAGGGTTTGAACCTCGCTGAAGCTCCTCCATCAATCGGGGTTTCTTGGGACCCGGTTCTCTGGATCTATCCAACAATCTACGAGTTCCCTCCATTTCATCAAAATCAAAACACTGTGAATCTAAAACCCTTAATCCTAACCCTAATGCAGTTTCGAAACTAGATTTACAACATTCGGCTTATCGATTCTCGTGCCGATTCGATTAACAGTGTATAGAAAGTAAATAACGAATTGGAAAAACAAGATGTGATTCAAAATTGTAGAATGGGGATTGAGATAAACCCTAATCCCAATTCGCAGAGATGAAAAATGAATGAAAAAAACGAGAAATAAAAGAGAAGGATCGAGAGTAAACAAACACGTGTGTTAATAAACACACGAGTTTAGAGTGAAACTCTCTTCTCGCCATTCAACTGTGACATTCTTCGAATTGTGAACGGAGTTTTGTTAAACATTCAGAACCGCATATTCAGATGCTGTATTAGTATCGTTTAAAGTAATTATTATTATTGAGATTACATTTTGCTACTACTACTATAGATTGTTTTTGTCTCATATACCCTTCATTATCATATACAATAACTAGATATTAGATGTACATAAAGGGAAAAAGATAAAAATAAAATAGTGAATCATCATGGATATAAAGGGAAAACTTTGAATTGAAAATAATATTATTAAAATTAAAAAGTATGATTATAGTATAATTGATATATCATATTAAAATTTAAATTGGTCAGCAAATTTATTTTAAAATATTTTTTTATTTTGGAGTAAAATTGGTCAACTACAAATCCATTGATGAAGTGTGGGTTTTTTAAATTATATATTTTATTTATAATGTTCTAGTAAATTTTTCTATAAGATAAATTGTCAAGTTTTATAAGTGACGCATCATTCAAAATTAGACGAATCGTTAATTTTTAATGCAAAAATGTGAAAGAATACTAAAACCATTTGATTTTGAAATAGAGTGATTGAGCTCGTGAAAAGGACAAAATAAAGAAAACAAAACTGTAGGATTTGTACATTTGTAGAATTTGTCCCCGCGGTTCCAACAATGAAACATTCGTTCAGACCTTCAGCACCACCGTTAGTATCGAGAGTAGAAGCACTCCGCTGGTATCGAGAGTATAGGCACTTCCTGGATTCTAGTTACTACAAGCCAACCTCAGAGTATAAAGAGCAAATGGGTTGTTGAATAACATGTATACCATAGTTCGACAACAAAATTCGCAAGAAGTGAAAGAGGGGTTGCTTCATCTTGAAGAAATCATACATAATATGAATCTAAAAGGTAACACGGTGCGGAAAACCACCTCTAGAAGAAGTTGAATGATCATCCCCAAGTCGACCGCATCACACCAGATGCGGTTACGAAATCTCCAAATCACCAAAAGAGAAAGAGATATCAAACTTTTGTTCATAAACTCGGAGGAGGTCGAGTTAGTCATGTTCCCCTTAAGGAACATGTAAAGAAACTATTGGTGAATAACCCACAAAAACATCCTCTTTGCGCATGTATCCTTGACAGTAAATACCAGAGTTGTTGGAAAAACCTCTGAAATTGAATAAGTGTGATGCAAAATGAGATCATGACGAACATGTGCAACATGTTCATGCATAGTTAAATTGCTTTCATGTCGATGAGGCTGCAAGTTACAAACTATTTACACTAACACTCACAAGATTTGTTAGACTCTGGTTCAAAGTTCTGTCATACAAGAGCAGTAACTCATGGATCGATCTGTGCAAGATATTTATCACTCATTTCACAACTCGGAAATGGCAATCAGTAACAATAGTTTCCCTCAAGAAAATCACGCATAGGAGGAAAGATAGTTTGGGGTCGTACATCAATTGTTTCATGCAGGTGGTTGTGGGGGTGGAAGGCTCCAATGAAAGCCTTAAATGTTGGATCTTTGAGAATGGATTGAAATAGGACAACTCATTTCAGGAGAAGTTGGGGCGCAGAGAAGCCCATAATCTAAAAGATCTGCTAAACGATAAATGTCAAATTTACGTTAAATATGTCGGCACTAACTGACTTATTTCACAAGTAATAACATCTAATTTGTCTGTGAAAAGTAATAAAATATCTGCTTGGACTTTTCTTGTATGAATTAATCAAAAACATGTGAAGAGAAATAGAAAACCACGAACCAGTGTGAAGAAAGTAGGAAAAAGTAAAACCATGAAATATAAAAGCTTGTTAGGCTTAAGCTATAGGCTCTCTAGGCGCATAATAGGGATGGGTGGCATGAGCAAATGCAAGTACTTCATGGTGAAGTAAGGGTTAGTGAAGGTGAGAAAAATACACAAGAAAGGTGGTTGAATTGTGTTTTTCGTTTCTTAACTTTGCCTCTGATCAGAGTTCAAACTCTAAACAGGTGTTCGGGTTTTGATTATACATTGCAGTGGAATGTTAACAAGCAAAAAAAGATAAATAACACACAAAGATTTATAATGAGTTCCTCCCAAAAGAGAATGGTTCAGTCCTCTTGCATCACAAGAGATTTTCACTATAACCAAAATATGATTACAATCGCTTATGCACTTAAGCATAAGACTTTTCTTTACTCAGACCCTCAGGCCAAGACTTCCTTGCTTAAGCCCCTCAAACTCAAGACTTCTGCTCATACCCTCGATCCAAGACTTCCCTGCTTAGATTCCACGAATCTAAGACTTCTACTCAAGCCCCTCAGGCCCAAGACTTCCTTGCTTAAGTTCCATAAACTCGAGACTTCTACTCAAGCCTCTATGGCCCAAAACTTATGCTTAAACTCATAGTCTAAGACTTTATGCTCAATCGACAATTGATCAAGACTTTCAATGCTCTAGCACATGGCAGGAGACTTACTTGGCTCAAGCTTTTTCAACAAAAGAGTTTGATGCTCAAGCACATAGCAAGATACTTTATCTAAACTACTAAACAATTATGTTTAGCAGAATAGAGAACAACATATACTTGATACAAAATCAGAGGTACAGGGTAACCACCTTAACAAAGACTTCTAAGCACTTGATATTTCTAAGATATTCAATGTATAAGAAATCTTATGGCTTATTACAATTTACAACGTATCACATAAAATATGCATACTCGATTGTGTTGCTTATTGTATGATCTTGTTATTCCTCCATCCAGACAAAAGTGTAGAAAACTTTTATCCTTCTTGACTTTCCTTCTATATTTGCCCTTTTGATTGCTCCTTGTTGAAGACTCCAGTTTAAATATTCAGTATCTTATATAGCAGTTGTAGAAGACTGGTCATTGGAAGAGATAACTTGAACAGGTGTCTTTGTTTTTCCATAGTAGAAGAGACGTTTAAGAGATATACACCAAAAGATCTTAATCTATTGTGTAACATGTTTTACCATTTCGTCTTCCATGTAATCTTGTACTGTAGATCCGTTGAGAATAGATATTCGTAAAGCATGTCAACTCTTCTTGAGTCTTGTGAAAAATAGACTCTAGCTAACAAGCTTATTTGACAATGAAGTTTGCTTTTTATAGTACAAATAACTCAAGCTTTATTATTGATTCTGAATGTTCATCAAAAGCTAGTAACTTAGTGTTGCACCCTAAATTTTGACCCCTTAGATTCTCATTATCATTTTAGGAGCATACTCATGAATTATCTAACCCTAACCTAATGCAAGTTTGTCTTTGTCAAGTTACAGATGAATCAGGGTTATGTACAGTCAAATCGAAGCTTCAGGGTTTGTGATCAATCAAATTTTTAGGCTAATTCAATCATGAAACAAGATCAAGGGTATTATATGATATCAATTGAGTACCCAATTTGAGGTTGTTACCCCAGAATCAAGAACAGTGTATTTCAGGGCACCCGATTAGGGTTTTGACTAGTAAAAGTCAACTGTAGGTTGACTTTGATGTTGGAAGGTGTTTTAATGGTGGGATTATGATCCATGAAGTTCATATAGCTTAATAAAGTTCATTCAAGAAGTTTCAAAGTCTCAGGAGGTCCAGAGTGTCAACAGACGACTCGGTAGTCACCGATCAATCGTACAGTTGACCAAAAAGTTAACCCTTCAAATTTAAGGAATTGGACTTCAAAGTGTGAATCAAAAATGTTCCTTATATCATATTGTTGCACCCTAAAATTTGCTCAACCTTATTCATATGGTTTATGTTTCAATTGCATTAGCATTTGTATATAGAGTCATGTACATAGTCTAATCATCTGCATAGCATAGCATAGCAAGTCATCCAACAGGGGACCAATCATTATTCTCATCTCCATGAGCCTATCAAGAGGTTATTATTCTAATTCAATCTCATTCAAGTCATCAGAAAGAATTGGAAAGCTAAAGAGGTCAATGGATCAAGCAGTGCATCTATCTCTTATCTGAGGGTATCTGAGGATCATCAAAGAGTTGTGAGCTGTAAATTGAGCATGGAGATTATGTGGACATCATGGAAGACTTATAAAGTCATTTGGAGAAGGAAACAAGTCATTGGTATAGTCACAAGAATCACAGTTGAAGTGCAGTCAACTAGGGTTTCATATGGGTCAACCCTGGGTCAACTCTAGGTCAATGGATTGATTGAAAGGCATTGAGGGCTATTGAAGAGATGTGGGGATCATCATTTGACATATAGAGAAGGATATGGTAATGTGCCAAGAAGAAATCAAGAGAAATCAAGGAGAAGAGGAGTTTCTAAATTAGGGTTTCTGTGTAAAATCCCCTAGTTTAGGTCAAATTTCCAAGCAAGATAAGTCAAAATGCAAGCTTCAAATGGATCATTGGTCAACATGAAACTTGTAGAGGATCTCAAGACCTTTAATTTGAGTTGTGGAAGACATTAAGGAGATTTATAGAACTCAAGTTATGGTCCTTGCAAGTTACAGGTCATCTGAGGTATCTGAAAATTTGTCTGTGAAAGTGACTTGTCTTCCAAGCAATGTTTACCCCTCAAGGAGATTTCAAATGAATTTCTGGTCAACATAAGAGTTGTTCCTTATTGTATTAGATTTCTATAATGGTATGGTATGCCTTCATAGGATTTGTGTAACTCTACTTATGGTCTTGGCAAGCAAAGGGTATTTTGGTCATCTGAGAATTACA